GTGCCAGCCTGTGGGTCATGCTAGCCCAGTGAGTGCCGCTGTGGTCATCACCATCAACAGCACACTGGACTCTGAAGATAGGCACATGAGACCTCAGCAACGCTCACAGGGTTAGCGGAGGCAGGAAGCCGGCTTTAGCTGGGAGGGGCAAGGACAGTGTGGGCTTCCTGTGTGGAGGTAACACAGCCAAGGGGACACTGCAAACTCAGTATTCCAGAAGGTCGGGGAATGATGGGGAGCAAGTGCCTCACTCACAAATAGGGAGAAGACAGCAGCAGCTTGGCTGAATAAGACTAAACCCACCAACCACCCAATGGAGACTGGGGCTTCTGCTCTGACACCTCAGGGTCACACTCCAGGTTCTACTTGGAGGCCCACTTGGCGTCTCAGCTGCCGGGCGTTCCCTCTCTCAGGATCTCCTAGAGCCTGGCTTCCTGTCAAGTCTGCAGCCAGCGCTGGCTTTACCCTTCGACAGTGCTTCCTGGGCCTTTTCTTCCAGCATCCCAGCAGCCCGTGTCCCGATTTCCACACCCCAAGGTCTCAGCCTGTGGGAGCCCCTTGCCCTCTAATCATCCTAGAGAGGAGGCAGTAGTGACAAGAGCTGGGCCTTGGGCAGCACCTAGACTAAGCCCTGCGAAGAGGAGGAGCTGGCAAGAACCAGACTGTGTGCCTGGCTGGAGAGCAGGGAGAGCCCAGAGGCAGGGAGGCTGAAGACCTGGGCAGAGACCCAAATTGTTGGGTGAGGGCTTGGACAAGCTCAGCATGGCAAGTACACCTGGGTACACCTGATACTAGATCCTGGCAACAAGATGGAGTGTCCTGCTGGTGGCTTCTGAAGTCTTCTGATTACTCAGACAAGATGGGACAGCCAGAGAGGCCCTTGGTGACCCCACAGGGAGGGGATGGGGCAACAACCCAGGGACTGACAGGGATGTCCATGCACTTTGTCTGGCCAGATGGGGCAGCTCCTCTGGCCCGCTTTTCCTCTCTGGACTTCAGAGCAGGTGGTCTCCAGGAAGCCGCTGGACAAGGAGAGGCAGCTCAGTGGTGCCCTGGCCAGCCAAGGCCAGATAGTTACCAGTGCAGGCAGTATTTGTTTTCCTCCCAGATGTGAGGCTGTCCCAGGCCGCCCACCCTGGTTACCATTTGCTGTGGTGGTTGCCAGGGGAACCACTTACTATTTTTATACATTCCCCAGAGGATGAGGCTGCAAAAAACACTCAGGCAAGGTTAGTCCAGGAGTGGTCCTGGAAGCAATGCCCAGGCGGGCTCTGCTGGGGTCTTGGCTGGAGGCTGGGGGGCTGCTCTGATGCTCCAGGATGGGGAACCAAGACTCACTCATCTCCCTGAGGAAGGAGTGAAAGAGGCCCAAGAGAAGGAGTGTGTCCTGGGTGGGGGCACCAAGCCATTCACTCCTCTATTCATTCACCAGTCGTTCATGTGCTCATCCATTCATGTATCAGACAATGAAGGTGCTGGCTTGTTCTAGGTGGTGGGGACACAGCTGTGAATGGGGCAAGTGCATCCCATCCTGATGCCGAGGCAGACAAATAGAATGAAATTACAGCGCTCTGGGCACGGTGGCTCACACCTGTAATCCCAACACTTTGGGAGGCACTAGGGAAAAGGCACCCAGGGGAGTTGGAAAGCTGAGCAGAGATCCAAACCCCCAGGTGATTTGGAGTAGACCCAGCCACACCTGCTGTTAGGCCTCTGGCAGCAAAACTGCAGTCCTGGCAAAGCCCTCAGGACAGAGGAGCATTTCCCCCCTTGCTCTTGGACTCTGGGGGAATCTGTAGGGCATCTAGGAAACCTAGGCGGCCTCTAGGAGACTCCAAGGCTGTATGTGGGAGATGTCCACTGGGGGGAGCTGGGTGAATGCGCTCAGTTCAGGTCGTGTCCAGGGTTGGGAAGGGAGAGGGCACTGTACCTGCTCATCTGACCTCCTCCAAACCCCAGCCTGTTGCCAAGACCCTGGACGTGTGCCTAGGTGCTCACTGTTCACCTTTGTCCATGCACTTGCTGGGAAGTCCAAGATGTCCATCAGTCCAGGAGGTAAGAGGTGGAATGCAGCAGAAGGGGCGAAACAAAGAGAAACTGAGCACCCACCAGGTGTCAGGAGACTGCTGGGCATACGACATACGCAACTGCTCCTAATTCTAGCATCCATCCTGTGAAATGAATACGTTTGCCCTTATTTTAAGGCCAGGAAACTCAGAGAAGCTAAATAACTTCCCCAGGATCATACAGTAGTAAATGATGAAACTAGGATTTGAACACAGGTCAGTCTGACTCTAAAACCTCTCTCTTCACAAGGCAAATGTGCCTTACTGCATACCTGCCGCTTGGTCTAAGCACTGCAGATCTTCTGTGAGCATCAGAGGAGAAGATGGAGGAGGAAACCGTGGCAGACTGTTTTCCCAAAATTGCCCTGTGCCCCCTGACCTTGGGCAGGACCTTGTGGCAAACAGAAGTGATGCTGCCTCACTTCAGAGGCTAAGTCATAAAAGGAGGGACAGCTCGGCCACCACACCGTGAGAAGTTACCCATAGAGACAAATGGTGCTCCCGGCCCGCAGCCAGCATCACCCACCAGAAATGTGAGCCAATCCCCCTCGTTCCAGCTGGGATTCCAGACATCAGGGATGGACGAGTTGTCCCCACTGCGCCCTCTCAGAGCTGTTGGCACACAAAATCTCTAAGCACAATAAATGGTGGTTTCACACTACGTTCTGGGGACAATTGGTTACACAGCTATCGTGACTGGAATGAGAATCTGTCAACTGTAAAGCACTATATACACATGTAAGATGTTATCTGTAAACCTAAGTTTGCTGTAACAGGATTGTGTTGGTATCTGAGGAAACAGATTGAGTATTAGTGTGAGTGCTCCCCAAAAGCAGAAAGTTGGAGAGGTGTTTGTGTGCAGGAAGACACACTTGGGAAGTGATCTGTGGGACCAGGCATAGGTGACAAGGAAGAATGAATCTGGGAGGGAGACCTGGCCAGTACACGGGTGTGTCATAGAGCTGACACCACTGTGTATATGTCCCTCTGAGGAACCTGCAGAATGAGCCTCAGTGCTACAGAGAGAATTTGTCTATCCAGGCCCCTACTGACTGCAGGTTGCCTCCAGGGGATGTGAATTCCCTGCCCTTGCCTGTTTGAAAATGCCCCAAAACAGCTTGAGCAGCTCTGCCAGGCAGAGGAGCCCAGGAAAGAAAGCTGAATTAGCACCAAGAGATGACGCTGGGCTGACAGGCTGTGAAATGGAGCATAAAAGATGACCAACACAGCACTAAATAACCCCCCAGGCAATAATTCCATTTGACTGGTCCTGGACAGAGGTCTGTAGGGCTAGCTTCTGCCTGGGAGGTCACTTGCCCCACCAACTGCGAGGCAACCTGTGGAGTTCCAGGTCTGCTTGAGCAAGGCCTTCGGTGCTGGAAGCTGCCAATGTCGCAGGGACCAACTGAATTCTCCGGGTCCTGCAGGTGATCTCTGGACACCATGGGGATTCTGGGGAGGTCCTGGAGACAGGGCATTCATTGTCTCCCGGGCGCTGGGCTCTGGGCCCTGGGCCTGGGTTCCCAGCTTCAGCCCCTCCCAGGAGCATCTCAGGAGGTTGACGTGCCAGCAGACCGTGCTTTTTAGAGACTGGGACTTGAAAAGCAGCCTCGTGAAGGAAGCCAGCGTAGAGAGTATTTGCTTTGTTCAGACCCTTAGGATATAATGAGGAAACACCATGGTGCAGATGCCTGAAGGTGTGAGGTATGAGTGTAGACGTCTTCGGGCCACGATAAGGCTGGGGCCTGGGCCAGACGGCCACACAGCCCACACCTCTAGGGCCCTGGACTGCTGGTTAGGCCTCTCTGCTCTGCTCTTCTTTGGAACAGTCAACTCTGTTGCTTACCCTTTGGGGCATCCAACACTTAGTGGTCATATTTAAATGGCTTTTCAGTCGGGTTCTGTGCATTTTAGGATATTTAGCAGCATCCTGGCCTCTAAATGCCAGTGGCACCCTGCGGTTGTGACAATCAAAAATGAAAACTGCCTCCAGGCATTGCCCATGTCCTCTAGAGCAGCAGCCCCCAACCTCTTCAGAATCAGGGACCGGTTTGGGGAAGATCATTTTTCCACAGATGGGAGGTAGGGGGTGGAATCATCAGGCACTGGGTTCTCACAAGGAGTGTGCAACCCAGATCCTTTACATGTGCAGTTTACAACAGGGTTCACATTCCTATCAGAATCTAATGCTACTGCTGATCTGACAGAAGGCAGAACTCCATTTGCCCGTTGCTCACCTCCTGCCGTGTGGCCCAGTTCCTAACAGGCCACGAACTGTTACTACTTCATGGCCAGGGGTTAAGGACCACTGTCCTAGGGGAAACCCCACTCCACAGGATTTCCTCTTAAAACCTGACTTCAGTCCAGTGTAAGGAGTATGCTTCACCATTTCTGGAGTGACCTCCAGCCAGGGTCTACCCACACTGCAACCCAGCCGGTCTCACCACCTTCCAGCTGCACATAAGGATGAGGCCAGGCCACATTCTCATCCCCTCCTGGGTTCCTAGCTCCTTTTCTCATCGTCCACCCACCCCATCCACCCGCATCACTCTCTACTCCTGCCACATTGGTTGGTGCCCCTGCTGCCTGACCCCCTCAGGGAAGAGGAGACGAACAGCAGGGCTGTGGCAGGGCACCCCTTACAAGGGATGCTGAGGAGGCTCTGAGGAGATAGCCCTGTGGAAAAGTTCACCTTTTATAAAAACAGGAAGTTGATTTTTGTTCTGATTATAAAGTTAACATTATCACAGTAGAAATCTGCAAGTAAAAAAAATGTAAGAAGAAATAAAGGTCATTCATAATGCCAATGCCCAGACAGCCAACACTGACATCTAGGAGACCTCCCATTTCAGCTATTATTGTCACCTGGCTGGGTGTGGGCAGGAATCCCCAGGTACACAGAACACTTGACCAAGGACAATGAAAAGTATTCACTCTTCCAGGGTAAGTATCTATTTTATTCGGATCTAGACGACTCTGAGGCTTTGGGTAGTTGATTTGGCAGGAAATCTGGTGCCTGCATGTCTTCCTGTCTCACCCTTCCAAGAGCCTGCTCCTGTAAATAGAGCCTCAGAACTCGTCCTTGATGTCAAAATGGGGTTGGTCTTCAGGCTTGAAGTCCAGGTTGGGGCTACCGTCCTTGTTGAGAATTCTCCGGGCTGTGTAGCCAACGATGGGGTATTTGGCTTTGTACACTTTGGTGAAGACATCATCTAGGGACTCCAGCTCCTTGGCCGAGAGACCCGTCTTGGGGAGAAAGTCCAAGAAACACAGGAGAAGGAGGTAAATGAGTCATGTGTGGCACTGGCCTTTCTCCATCCCTGCCCTTCCCTTCCCACACCTCGAAAGCCCTAATGCAAGAGAGCTGTGTGGGTTACATGTATGGGCTATATGTTACCCGTCACTGGATGAAATTATCAAGCTTAGTTTTGTTTCCTCTTTGGGGGTCTGCCTCTACCCCTACCAGTCTCCCAGATTCCCTGCAGGTAGGAGGTTTAACTGTCTTGCTCACTGAGGTATCCCCAGCACTGGGGACACCGTAATGTAGGTGCCCAGTGATATGTGCTGGATAAACAAATGATCAGCCGGGCTTGGTGGCTCAGCCTGTAATCCTGCGCCTTGGGAGGCTGAGGTGAGTGAATTGCCTGAGCCCGTGGGTTCGAGACCCTCCTGGGCAACTTGGCGAGACTTCAGCTCTACAATAAATCAAAAAATTAGCCAGGCGTGGTACCGCAAGCCTGTAGTTCCAGCTACTCGGAAGGCTGAGGCGGAAGGATCGCCGGAGACCAGCAGGCTGAGGCTGCGGTGGCGGGAGCGGCCACTGCATTCCAGTCTGGGCGACAGACTGAGACTCCAACTCAACAACAACAACAACAAATGATCAGATCCTCGGGACATGTTGACTGAATTTTATGTGTGAAGTGAAACAGGCTCTGCCTGGAGTTTCTCCCATTTTGCTCCCCTTCTCTAGAGAATCCCCATAACCAGTCAATCCTGTCCCTGACAAGCAAATAGCCCTAGGCTCCAGAGATCCAGTGTGACAACACTGACAAGGCAAAGACAAGCCAGACCTGTGGCCTGGCAGCCATGAGTCCTCTCCCTGCTGTCGGCCAAGCCCAGAGTGCCCAGGCCTGCTTTTCTTAGTAAAAAAAGTTGCAAAATAAAAAAGCCAGGCCTGCTTTGCCAAGTACACAAAGGCAGGGGCAAGCTGCCTCCCTGATGGCCCCCAGAAGCTGGTGAAAACAGAGGGGACCTCTCTTTTTTCTGTGTGACACAGGGACTTGAGCTTGGCTGCATGACTCTTGGACCGCGGCACTCTAAGTTAGTGAGGCTGCAGGGTCAAGAGGGCAGTTGGAACCCAAAAGGCATACCATTTTACCTCACTTGCCACACCTTCCATCTTAGGGGCGCTCAACCATCCCTTCCCTCTCCATCAAACCCTAGTAGTCTAGCCAGGGAGAAGACAAGGCCAGTTTCCCACTCCATTACAGACAATCACTGAGTTGGATGCTAAGTTTACAAGAGTTTGGACTTGACTCTAGATAATATGGAGCCATGGAAGATTTCTGAGTGGGAGTGGAACAGTAAGTAATCTATTTCAAAAAAATGGTTGGCCACCACACCAAGTGGACTGCCACAGGTAAATAGGCTAGTTAGGAAGCTTTGTTATTACCCAGAAGTTTTTTTAAAAAAAGAAAGAAAGAAAGGAAAGAAAAGAAAAAGCCATGGCCAAGGGGGTGGGACGTTTTGACAAAGGCTCATAATGTGGCTCACAGTGTCATGGGTGAGGTCTGCAGGATCCAGGGACATCTTGGCCACTCCTCGAGTGGCGTCTTTCCCAGTCAAGGCATTGTAGGGGGCTCCTCGTCCATAAAGCTCTGCAGTGGAAAGGAAGGAAGAGGGCATGAGTATGGTATACATGAAGGGCAGCCAGGAGCCTGCACACAGGGGATGGGGGTCCCAAGGCTTCACTCAGTCCCAAAAGAGGCTGCAGGCCTGAGGAGAGGCAAAGCAGTGACGACATCAAGTCCAATAAGCCACCTCCAGCCATCAGGTTGGATTCCACTAATCCAAAATATGGAATATGTCACACATGCAGGTTAAGAGGTGGTTTTTAGAAAATACAGAATGAAAATTGTCTCTTAGAAATATTAAAAATGCAAACAAGGAAAAGCCTCAGTCTTCTTAAATGTTGGTGAAAACCAAGTCTATTTTCATTAAGCAGTGTTTAGTAACAAATAAAAGATGAACCGTTACCAAACTACCTCTATTATATCATTTATAGATACAATTAGGAAAACCATTAAATGGCATTAAAATGTTCTATAATGCCAACTTTTTACTAAGAAACTCTTCTCTCACTGCTCCAACTAGGTTAAATCATCAAGTATGAATTTTATTCTACAGGCAATGAGACATGAAAGTCTTACGAGTAGGGGCGTGGGATTGTTAGGAGGGAAAAAAAAGTGTTTAAGTAAAACACTGACAAAGATGAACTTAATTCAGTCATTTAAAATGGAAGGAAAAGGACCTGCCCAACATTCACTCCCTCTTCTCATAACTCCAACTGCCCACTCTGTCTTCTGAGTTCCCTGGAAATAAATATCGAAAATGCCAAATCACTTACCCTTTCCAGAAGTGACATCAAACACCACTCCCTTTACTGCCAAGTAGATGGGCTTATTGTCCTAGAAAGCAGAGAAGAGGTTGTGAGGAGGATGGGAAGAGTCCAGCTCTACCAGTCCTGACCTGTGCAGACAGCAGTGTGTAAGGTCACAAGCAGCCTTCCACAAAGCCAGGTTCTCTGAGCTTGCCACCTGCCTGGGCGGCGTCATGCCCACACAAAAAAATGGAAAACTCATGAAGTCTCATGCAAGGGTAAGGCAATCCTCTCCTTTATAAAGAAAACCAAGAACTAAGGCAACTTTGTGCAGATAAAAATTCAAAAAAATATTAAATAATGAATTACTTAAATCAGTCCAAATTTCCTTTCATCTTCATGAACAGACATACATGGATGTACATAGTATAAACAATCTATTTTATGTTTGCTTCTTATAGATAACACTAATTTGTATAAGCATTTCCATGTATTGAAATACCCAAAATGGCTTTTGCCTAAACAGTTCCACAGGACCCCATCGTGTATTAGTAACACTGTGTACCTGTTTGCTTAGCTAGTCTTTTTCTATTCTTGGTACTTGGGTTGTTTGCAATCCTTGGAACTATAAATGGCAATATTATGAATATCTTTCTATAAATTACTTTCTAATTTGGCAATTTATTTCTCTGAGGCCTACTTTAATATATGGAATTCCTGAGCCTAAGTATATGAACAACTTAACCACTTTTTATAGTTTACCAGTTTGTCCTTCAAAAACATTAAGCCATTTACAGTGCTAGAAATAAGTAAGCAGTGCTGTTGCCCCACAGTCTGACTAGCAATGGGTTTTATACTTTATTCTTGCTAGATCAGTGGGTATAAGATATGACCTTAGATCCTCCACTAAAAGAGAATAATACAAAAGCAGATGGCATGTATTTTCAACTTCCACCAAGTTGGGCTCAGCCTGGGACAACAATGAGCACAGTGTCAGGACACCCAGGACAGGACCTTCCTCTTTTGTCTCACCCATGGGGGTTCAGGGACCTCAACCATGTAGCTCCCAAGCCAGCTGAAGATGGGAGTCACTGCTGGGTCTACAAGAGCCTCAGCTCCCGAGCAATACTATGTGGCCCTCTCTTTGGGGTGGGCTTTAGGGTCCTTCCCCTTGTGGAGCTTATGGTCAAGTATTTCATGAAACATTTAAGAGCCACAGGAACTGAGGCTCAGGGAAGCTAAACGGCATGTCCAAGGAAACACACCTCACTGGCACATGACCGCTCACTGACTGCCATGTGGGGATAATCCCACCTAACTCGCAAGAACACTGACAAAAACAGTGTATGTGAGCATCTGCAGGCACAACATCAGGAGCTCAGTAAATGGCTGGTGTTCATTATTCCCTAGGGTGCTTCAGTCCTGAGAACTTCTGTGGACTTTGTAGACACTCACTCCACCCCACACAAGGGTTATTTTATTTTGCTTTATTAATTATTAATTTTATTAATTTTTTATTTTAAAGATGTGGGGTACAATTCAGGGTTAGGTATATAGATGTTCATTAACAAGGGTTATTTTGAAGGGCCTGGTTTCACAAGCCAGCAGACTGCAGTTTTCTTTGTGATGAGTTACTGCCTTCCCTTCACTGTAATTACTTGTCAGCTCTGATTGCTTGTCAAGTGGCATTATGCATTTATATCAATTTTTGAAATATATTACAGTTATAATTTAACCATGGCATTTTGTTGTATTTTCCATTCGGTGGCTGTTTCTTTTATCTTTATTTTCTGTATGCAAAGAGCCATATAAACATATAAACATTCACACACACAAGATATAAAACATGTATCTTATCACTAACACTTTGCATTTCTTCAACAGTTAAGTATCTGTCTCCTCCTTAAAGGTGTTGTGAGCCCTGAGAGGAAGTCAATAGTATAGGGGTGGAACAGAATGTTTAGCACCTTTTAAGGCATTACTGCGACATAGATATTCACAAGCCACACAGAGGAACGGCTTTATCAGTCACAAACTGAGTGTGCTGTGTGAGTGAGCTCTGAGCACGTGGAGAAGGACACCTACTGACAGAAGAGCCCACAGGCACGGATCTTCAGGCCCGGGAAATGTCAAGTAAGAAGGCGGGTAGAAGCCTCGGCATGTAAATGCAGACTCAGGAATAGAAATATCCACAGAGACATGATAAAGACATGCTCAGCACCAACTTCACCCCCATCATCCTGCATGGGTGATAAGATACATGTTTTATATCTTGTGTATGTGAATGTTATGTTTATATGGCTCTTCGCACACAGAAAATAAAGATCAAAGAAACAGCCACAGAATGGAAAATACAACAAAATGCCATGTGATCTAAGGTTGGATGTATATAAATGGATACATCACTTTTTAACTAATTATAACCACAGCAGGTCATAAATAACAGCAAAAGGGCTGTCTTTTTCTAAGAGACCAAAGGAGGAATCATCATGATGTCATGGTAGTAGCACAAGTTTGCAGGTCAAAGGGGTCTGAATTTGAGCCACCACTTATAAGTTGTGTTGCCTTAGGCAACTTACTTAACCTCTGGGTGCCTCAGCTTTCTCCTCTGTTACAGGAGAATAATAATGGGCTATTGTGAGAATTAAAAAGGTGAGAGATCCCGCGCCTTTGGGAGGCTGAGGTGAGTGGACTGCCTGAGCCCGCAGGTTCGAGACCCGCCTGGGCGGCGAGACCTCATCTCCACAATAAATCAAAAAATCAGCCGGGCGTGGTAGCACATGCCTGTAATTCCGGCTACTCGGAAGGCTGAGGAGGAAGGATCGCCGGAGCCCAGCAGGTCGAGGCTGCGGTGGCTGGGAGCGGCCACTGCACTCCAGTCTGGGCGACAGAGTGAGACTCCAACTCAAAAAAAAAAACAAAAACTGGAAGGAGCCTTGAAGATAATGTGTCTAACATCTTCATATTACAGATGAGGAAGTCTAGGCCCAGGGAGGTTAAGTGACTGTGCCCAGAATCACAGAGGAAACGAGAAGAAGAGCAGGTTTGGGAACCTGGAGCCTTGGAACCCAAGGTTTAGTCCACTCTCTTGCCCTGCCCCTCCCAGAAGGCATACTTAGAACGAAAGGGCATTTGCCTCAGACCAGGAGAGGGTAAGAGTCTCCTGGGAAACTCCAAAGACTCAGGCCACCAGGAAATAAACAGGAAATGGGTCAGAGGTACCCAGATAGAAGGAAGTCAGGAGATCTGCCCTGCATAAACAAGACCAGGACCTCTAGCTTTCCTCTGAGTCTTGGGGCTGTCCTCCCACCTGGGCTTCTTCCTTGCAGTAGATCCAGAAGACAGTGTGGTTCTGTTAAAGAAGTACCTGTGACCCCCATGGAGTTTCAATCTGAAGCCTGTGCTGAAGACATTAAGCAAACCCTTGCATGGGTGCCTGGGCTCTCACCCAAATGGCAGGATGTGCGACTGGTACAAGTGGGTCTGCCTTGGGTCTCATCCAAGCAGATTATAGTAGAAGGAAGATACCAATAGCTAGATGTTTCAAAAAGACTTGTTATACAGGTCCACAATCCCGTAGCAAAAACTGTTGGGAGTAAGAAGTGTTTGGGGTATTAGAATTTGTCAGATTTTAGGAAGGTGTAATGGGGGACATGAACCCCAACCTCTAGGGAGGTCCAAGGCAACACCCATAATCAAATATACTGATATTTCTCCAGTAAAACAGGAAATTGAATATCCACACTAACTGGAATAAAGACTAACACTGACTGGTATTAGCTCCAACAAAGTTCTGCCACCAAACGAGTTCAGATCAAGTTGGGTTTTGCTATCAAACGACTTATTTAAAAAAAAATTCTAGTTTTCAGAGCTTCTGAATTTCTGTATTACCTAAAAGAACTGTGATGCCTCTTGTTTGTATCTTTTTTTTTTTTTTAAAGAGACAGACAGGGTCTTTCTCTGTTGCCTAGGATGGAGTGCAATGGATGATCATCGCTCATTGCAGACCCGAAATGCTAGGCTCAAGTAATCCTCCTGCCTCAGCCACCTGAGTAGCTAGAACTACAGGTACACATCACCACACCTAGCTAATTTGTTTTTTATTTTTTGTAGAGATGGGGTTGCCCAGGCTAGTCTCAAACTCCTGGCCTTAAGCAATCCTTCTGCCTCAGCCTCCCGAGAAGCTGGGATTACATGCAAGAGCCACCGTGTCTGGCTCCTGTTTGTATCCTTAATAAGCTAACAAAAATAACAGCAGCTAACATTTATTAAGGATGACTATGCTAAGTCCTATTCCACGTCTATGCAAAACCTCTGCATATCATCATCTCATTCAATCTTCATGAAACAGCCTGTACAGATTATAACCGCTATGATGGTTGATTTTATGTGTCAATTTGGACAGGCTACTATACTCAGTTATTCAATCATGTACTCATTTAAAAGTTGCTATAAAGGCATTTTGTAGAAGTAGTTAACATCTACAATCAGTTGACTTTATATAATGAGATTATTCTGGATAATCTGGGTAAGCATAACCCCATAGTTGAAAGACCTTAAGAATAAAATTGAGAGCCGAGCTCGGTGGCTCAGCCTGTAATCCTGCGCCTTTGGGAGGCTGAGGTGAGTGGATTGCCTGAGCCCGCGGGTTCGAGACCCGCCTGGGCAACTTGGCGAGACCTCATCTTTACAATAAATCAAAAAATTATTAGCTGGGCGTGGTAGCACGCTTGTAGTTCCAGCTACTTGGAAGGCTGAGGCGGAAGGATCGCCGGAGCCCAGCAGGTCGAGGCTGCGGTGGCCAGGAGCAGCCACTGTACTCCAGTCTGGGTGACAGTGAGACTCCAACTGAAAAAAAAAAAAAAAAAAAGAATAAAATTGAGGTTTCCCTGACAAAGAAAATATTCTACCTGTGGAAGACAACATCAGTTCCTGTTAAAGGGTTTCCAGTCTGCCCTTCCTGACAGCTTGCCCTATGTATTTCTAACTTGCCCATCAGTTCTACAATCCTGTAAACCAATCCTTGCAATAAACTTTACCTATATCTATCCATATAGTTGATCCTTGAACATCACAGGTTAGAGCTGCACTGGTCCATTTACATGCAGATTTTCTTCCACCTCTGTCCTCCTCCTCTTCCTCCTCCAACCACTCTATGTGAAGAGGATGAAGACCTTTATGATGGCCCACTTCCACTTAATGAATAGTAAATATATTTTCTCTTCCTTATAATTTTTGTTTTTTGAGCTGAGGTCTCACTCTGTCACCCAGGCAGTGGCCAGATCTCAGCTCACCACAGCCTTGACTTCCTAGGCTCAGGTGATCCTTCCACCCCAGCCTCCTGAGAAGCTGGGACTACAGGCATGTGCTACCATGTCTGGCTCATTTCTTAGTTTTTTTTGTAGAGATGAGATCTTGGTATGGAACTCCTGGGGTCAAGCAATCCTCCCACCTCAGTCTCCCAAAGTGCTGGGATTACAGGCATGAGCCACCATGCCCAGTTGTTATGACTTTCTTAATAACATTTTCTTTTCACTAGCTTACTTTATTGTAACAAATATAGTATATAATACACATAACATACAAAATATGTGTTAATTGGCTGTTTATGTTCAGTAAGGTTTCCAGTCACAGCAACCTATTAGGAGTTACGTTTGAGAGGAGTCAAAAGTTATATGTGCCTGGGTGCTGTGGGGGCATGCCTGTAGTCCCTATAGTTACTTGGGAGGATGGGGCAGGGGGATTGTTGGAGCCCAGAAGTTTGAGGCTGTAGTGCACCATGATCATGCCTGTGAATAACCACTTCACTCCAGTTCGGGCAACATAGCGAGACCCCCAACTCTAAAAAAATGTTCTGTGTGGATTTTCAACTACATCCCTAACCCTTATGTATTCAGTGATCAGCTGTGTGTTGTGTGTGTGTGTGTGTGTGTGTGTGTGTGTGTATCTCCTACTGGTTCTGTTGTCCGGTGGAACCCTGGCTTATTGAAAACAATTGAGACTCAGAAAGGTAACCTGCCCCAAGTCACATGTCACACAGCAGAACAGAGACTCAAAACCAGGTATGATCCAGTATTATACAACCTGTGACACTTCTGAGAGTGAAAGGAGGTGTTATTTATTTATTTATTTATTTTTTGAGTTGGAGTCTCACTCTGTCACCCAGACTGGAG